CCAAGTGAAAGATGTAACACCAACATGTAAGAAAAACAAAACAAAACAAAAAAAACAGAATCATCTAATTTGAAAAAGGAGCAAATAAAAAAAAAAACGTCCAAAACAATTTAAGGGTAACAATTTAATTGATGTTCAACAAATAAAAAACAGATATAATACAGATAAACAATTGATAAAGCTTGACTTAATGAATATTAGATCCCTTTCTATAAAAGCGCTTTTTGTAAATAAAATGATCACAGATCATAACCTAGATGTGCTCTGTTTGACAGAACCCTGGCTAAAACCTGATGATTACATTATTTAAAATGAGTTTACCTCCGAAGATTACTGTTATAAACATGAGCCGCATCCAAAAGGTCAAGGGGGAGGTGTTGCTACAATTTATAGTAATATTTTCAGTATTTCGCAGAGCTCAGAATCACGTAATGGTGATTCAAATAACATTACCCAGAGAAACAAGTGTTAATGATAAGTCCCCTGTGTGTACTGGCTACTGTATACAGGCCACCAGGGCACCATACAGACTTTATCAAATAATTTGCTGATTTTCTATCTGAGCTAGTGCTGGCGGCTGCAGATAAAGTCTTAATTGTTGGTGATTTTAATATCCATGTTGATAATGAAAAGGATGCATTGGGATCAGCATTTATAGACATTCAGAACTCCATTGGGGTTAGACAACATGTGTCAGGACCTACTCATTGTCATAATCATACTTTAGATTTAATACTGTCAAATGGAATTGATGTTAATGGCGTTGATATTCTGCAGAAGGGTGATTATATCTTGGATCATTATCTAGTCTTGTGTATACTCCATATAGCTAAAGCTGCAAATTCAACTCCTTGTTACAAATATGGTTAAGGAAAACAGTCAGACACCGTGGTATAATGAGCACACTCACGCCTTAAAGAGAGCAGCCCGAAAAATGGAGCGCAGCTGGAAGAAAACAAAACTAGAGGTATTTCGTATTGCATGGAGGGAAAGTACTTCTACTTATAGAAAAGCTCTAAAAACTGTTAGATCTACTTACTTTTCGTCTCTCTTAGAAGAGAACAAACACAACCCCAGGCATTTATTCAATACAGTGGCTAAATTAACACACTCCTAGAGAATTACAGACCGATCTCAAATCTCCCTTTTCTGTCAAAAATACTAGAAAAGGCAGTATCCTCTCAGCTATGTTCCTTCTTAGAGAGAAATTGTATCTCTGAGGATTTCCAGTCAGGATTTAGACCGTATCATAGTATTGAAACTGCTCTCATCAGAGTTACAAATGACCTGCTCTTATCATCCGATCGTGGTTGTATTTCTCTATTAGTGCTACTGGATCTTAGCGCTGCGTTTGACGCTATCAGCCACAACATTCTGTTGAATAGACTACAAAATTATGTTGGCATTAGTGGAAATGAGGCCTACAGCAACTCTGAAGCAGTTGCAGGAATTTATGACAAAGAGTGGTCATTTTGTGCATGTGACAACAATATAACAAATTCTCCACAAATGTGACCTAGTAAGTATAACAACTAAGTAAAGATTACTAATTAAATCTAAGTAAGGTCAACTATTGGATTTTACAGTGTACCTTAGAAAAACAAAGAGAGTAAACCACATGCAAACATAACTGTATCAAATCTCACTTTTGATTTTTAGATATTCAAATTCAAAACCATATTACTCCTAAATGAACAACTTATATAATATATAAAAACAAAATGAGTATGTGGGTCAGACCTATTTGTTTGTTTATTTATTTCTGTACATTATTTATATTACACACACACACACACACACACACACATTTGCCGGCACGGCAGCAAATTCAGCAGCTTTTAGATCTTGTTGGTTCGATTTTGTCGAGACAAATTCAGCTGCTCTCTACTCTCTCTCTTTTTCTATGCAATAGTAGCTGTTGATTATATGTTTCTACAGTTGTGTTTTTATTGAGTAGGTCATCCAATAACAGAAATTAGTGATTTACACCAATATGTGATGCTGCTGCTGAGCAATCAACCCTGGTTGTGGAGTAAATGAAGAAATATATTATGATAATATAAATGACCCATTCAAAGGCCAGTGAAGGTATACTGCCAGTTAGTGATATAGGCTACGTTTTGGGCATGAGGTTGTGGGTTCGCACACACATTTCAAAATTATATAAATATCCACAGGGTTGGATTTAGTTTGCAATTTGGATTATTTTTTTAAGATCCTATGAGTCCTGATAAATGCAATTTCAACTATTTCTGAAGTGCTTCTTGTTGGAAAGCACTCTTACCACAATGTTTTTTTGTTGGACTTTTGTAAGCCCAAGGTGTTATTATTATTATTTTTTCTCTGTTCTGTTAAAAGCTGTTAAATTATTAAGCAGTGTCTCCTGTAGTTTTTTATCCTTGTACTTTATGTGGTGACCACTGGGAGGTGCTCTGGGCATGTATTTTTCTTTCTTGGTTTTCTTCCCTGACGTAATGTATGTTGCAAAACTAAAGTAAAAGTTTCATGCAGGTTCGTTGCGTTCTAACAGGAAAGAGTTTGTGTCTTTATTTAAAATCAACACTTTCTCATATAATGCAGTGAAGCAGCCTGTGCATAGAATGAATAATTGATTCTCGAGCCATTGATATCAAACAAATTCAGCACCACCGCCATGGACAGCACCTGGAACGTCGCACGTAAGAAGGTATATCTTAAGCAACCTTCTAAGGTATAGTTCGGGGAATACGCCTAGAAATGGTACACTTTTAGTTAAGGCATACCTTTAGAGTCTTCGTAGCACGCTATGAGACAGCGTTATTGGGAAACGCAGCCCAGAATCCTAGTTCAACACAGTAACCACTGTAACGAATCAGCTCATGAGGAAATATGAATAATTAATCATAACTAGTTATAATTAATTATAGTGCAAACATATTATGACTGTCACAAAAGTTTGCATTGTGACATTGTTTTTATCCAAATTCTCATTTGTTTCCTATTCATTTGTCAGAACGGAATGACGTAAAGTGTTCGAGGTAAGACTTGAACCCCAGTCTCTCAGTCAGAGAACACTACTTCTCTACCTCTGGTCTACTGAGGGAAGACAGTTTGTAGAAATCCCATGTGCAGAAGGAAAAGGTAAACCAGGAGGCTCAGATAACTCAAAAACAGACAGTCTTACTTGGTCTCAGTCTTCAAATACAAACAAAAGAGCAGTCATAGCTTTGCAAAACAAAAACGTAAGTAGGCCAAATGGCAACAGAGAAACGACACTTAGCTCTTCTAGAATCCATCCAGGGTAGGCTCAAGACTGAATACAGCTCAATGAAACTGCCAAACTTAAACAGGACAAAATATAGGTGGGACAAATTAACTTGATGAGCAGTCCTAACAAGAGTTCACAGCAGGTGGTGCCATCTAGTGGCTGGGAGAGTCATTGCAGGAGGAGTCTTAAATCATTTCAGGGTGAAATATGAGTCAGACATGTTCTTGAAAGGTTTTGAGAGATAAAAAAACACCTACTGTAAGGTGAGAGCCAAATACATTCTTTCTCAGCCTACTTTCTTTACATGTTAGCCTTCCTGTTATTAATGATTGGAAATTCTGATTCTCCTTTAGGTCCATGGGAACGCAGATAAACACTCTACAAACATTGAAATAATCTCATTTAGGCAGATGAGTAAGATTATTTTCCGTCATCCACACTATTGAAGGGATGCTTGCTGGAACAAGCCCACACAAAACGCGATACAGTTCAGGTGACGTATATTACAGTGTGGGCTGCTTGCATTAAGATTCCCTTTCGGATGGCATTACTCGACTGTGATGCAGTTACCTTAAGGGACAGAAACCTGTTGTGAATGTGCTAATGTGCCTAATGTGGCCTGAAAGACTGCACCTGCTTCTGAAATCTTCAAGCCATAGCCAAACAATACAGCCAAATGATATTCCTCTCTCCATTTAGAAAGACCACTGGTGAAAGAATGCAACGAATGCATTTCCTAAGCAAGTGTTTTTGACTATTTTGAGTATTTTTTGACTATTTCAAAAAAAAAAAAAAAAAGGTATTTCTTTATGGTCTTTGTCTTGCATTGTTTGTATTCTGGTCTTTCTCTCGCATCACATTTGATTATTACAGCAAGCTGATCCCTCAAGACAAAAACCTATTGTAATCAAAGAAAATATCTCAACCAGGGGCGCATCTTGTACTCACAAACAAAACTATGGATGCTCCAGAAGGGGAACAAAATATCAAAAACAGTAGGTGGATCCTGTTGCAGAACAAGAAAATCCACGTCCAGGCACTCACATAGTTAGAAAGGTAAAAAGCCTTTATTATAAGACAGGGCTACTTCTTAAACAAAAAAAGATACCAACGCATATCAGCCCAAACAGGCCTTTGTCAGGGTTCAAAAAAACAATTGCTTTTGCTATTGCCCTGTGTTCCTTCCACACAAAGGACTGTTGAATAAGCAGTGCACCCCACTGAAGTAGAGATGTGATCATTTATGGCAAGCACATGTGTCCCAGAAGCTTTTTGACAGTCTCCTTGATCTTTGGAGGCCTGGAAATTTGAGGATAGCAGAACATAGATAATCAGGAGCATTTTGATAGATCAAAACGTGCCTCCAAACATAAATGAATTCATTCATAAAAAAAAAGATTTCCTCTCAGTAAGACACCAACATTAGCATGCCGTGCCTTCCTACACGCTGTGAAGGATTTGATTTAGTATGACAAGAAAGAAGTCACTGAAACATTGTATGTGTCACATTTACAAAACATCACTGATGTCAGAAATAGAAACTGTCAACTTTATCTCAGTGAACTATGAACTCTCTGAAAGGATAGAGACACAGGATGAAAGATAGAGGGGAAGAGGCGTGTCTTCAGTATGTCAGACAGGTTTACTGCCTCTGGCCAGCGAGACGCTCTCATTATTTGCATGTGAAAACTTGAGTCCCCACCCTTCACCAGGTTCTCAGCACTTCTCCTGTTCAGACACATTCAGGGTTTTTTTTCCCAGAGACTAACAAATCTCCTTCATTTTACGACATAGCTCATCCATACTGGTACAACACGGGATAAGAATGCTAAGAGACACAGCATGATGATTTCCTCTTAAGTAAGTAACTTTTTACAAATGGCAAAGACTTGAATGTCATACTCAATGTTACTGAAGTACTGAATTGTTTGGAGCAAGAAAGCTGCAGAGTACAGATGACAGGTTACTTTGCTATATGTCTGCCTGTATTGATTTTGCATATTGAAAGATACATTTCACAATGTCAGTGCATGACACTGTGACAGACTATTTCTGAGAAAGGTGTACAATGAAATAAATAGGGTTCTCACAAACAAACTGTCTTTTGCTATACATGGATTTTAGTTCTAGTTTTATCTTTGGAATGTGCTGATGTCTTATGATCTCTAAGATGAACACATATGTGAAAAGTTGCCTGGAATCTCTTAAAATTAGTTTTTTTTTCTTATTTTATTTCTGAATGAAGTGCAAAATAAAGTTGCAAGATCTTTTAAATACAATATAAATCAGCAAATCGTACAGCAATAAAACTATAGTTATTGTAGTAACATAGAACTCTCATAGAACCACAAAACGAGTTGTTTAAAACCTGCATTAAGTTTTGGTTAACTAAAGCTGTCTTTGTTATTCATTCAGTGTATTAATCAGAGCAGGTGGGGCTCTGCATGATTTTAAGTGTTGAAAGCCAACCCCTTGTGAATGCTTGAGACCTGTGGAGATCTCAGCACCTGCTGATCAAGTCAAGTCAAGTTGAGTAAATTAATTATGCCTGATAGAATGAATTTGAAATATGATGAACCTTGATGGATTCTGGGAAATAACCTTTTTAATGACATCAAGGTTTTGTAGCCTGTGGTTTTGACCCGAATGCATATGTTACAGTTTTGTTCACCTGTAATTACTTGGTAACTTGTAGATATACCATCTATAACTATCCTGCACCCAGCAAACAGAAAGAGCAAATATTGTTTTCCAAATTAGACTCTATTAATATGCATGTGATTGACATTTTTTTTTTTTTTTTAGATTTACTCAACAATTTACTATTAAATCCTCAAAGCTTGTTTTTGTTTTGGTCAGTTTTAATTTGTTTCTTTAAAGATGAAGTACATAATTTCTGTGCCAGGAGATTTTTTTTTTTTATCTTAAATTTCATTAACATTATAATAGATGATTTGCCATTTGCCTTTTTTTTCACCGACTAGTTGTTTTTAGTGACAGTTATAGCTTATGCAACTGCTTCAAACAGTTGTGTCTGAGTAGCCATTAGCAGGCTTGAAGGGTTCTGTGACTATTGAAATGATTGGAATAACTTCATTTTTCTTCGGGGCTTATAGACATACTTAGCGAGCAACATTTAGAGTGTCAACTAACTAAACTAACTGTCCTGCACCCACAAAACATTATTAAGTTGGAAATGGAATGTTCTGGTTGTTACTGTAGGCCTGACTCAGTAACAAAGCTTGACAGTGCAATAACGTCATAACATTTTCTCACATTTTCAGTCGAAGAAAAATAATTACAGGGCAGCTTCTTCATTATAAGAACAGTGAGTCACTCACAGTTTCATCATAAGCAGAACATGTTACATCTGGAGAGTTTGCTCACTGCTGCTGCTCAGTATTTTAAATGTGCACTCATTAAAAAAAAGTTTTACACATAATATAGTACTTCTATATTATGTTTAAAATGATGTAGACTTACATGAGGTAAAGACTCTAGTCATTTCATTGACCTAATATAAACCTGACCTGATAACCTGATGTAATATGACCTAATATAGCACCTAATAATAATAATATATAATAATATAGGCTATATATATATATATATATATATATATATATATATAATGTGTGTGTGACACACACACACACACACACACACACACATTAGGATATAGGATTTACTGGACAAAAATGTGGATAAGACCCATGATATTATGTCTTTAAAGGCACATCATAAAAAAATGAAAGTATAGTCTAGAGCAGTGGTCACCAACCTTTTTAGGCCCAAGATCCCTGACCTCGGCCTTTATGAAAGACAAGATCTACCTATTGAAGAATTGATAGAAAAAGACATCCCAGATTGTACTTCAAATTTGAGGCCTTTTACTTAGTATTTTAATTAGTGATGCGCCGATCCAGAATACAGATTTTCTTTTCTTTCTTTCTTTTTTTTTTTAACTAGCAAATTCTTTCTTTCTTTCTTTCTTTCTTTCTTTCTTTCTTTCTTTCTTTCTTTATTTTTAACTAGCAAATTGGATTCTGATACTGATACTGATTTTTAAGCAAATTTATTTATTGGCTATTTGCTTTATAACAAAATACACGTTTTTCGGCGGGGGTCTTCCAGTAAAATTCACATTCCAGGGGCTAAATATCACGTTATTGGGGTCGCTTCAACCCGCGGACATGAACAACAACCCGCGGCAACAGTGTTAAAGTAGCCCAATTCCGCGGGAAAACCGCGGACTTGGCAACACTGCTTATGAACCGACCGCAATATAGCGTTTCCTCGGTTACCGCTGTAAACAAAGCAGAGCTGTGCTTTATATGAGCTGTGTCTCATTTAGAAGGCTGCGCCCTCCTGAGGTCGCATTCAAAGGCTGCATACGTCATCGAGGCTGTCTCATTTCAGAAAAGCAAGAAGGACACTCCGAATGCGACCTTCGAATGCGACCTTCTTTCACAGGAATTCGGAGGATGCATGAGGTGTATCCTTCGCTGCTTAAATGAGACACAGCTATGGAGGAGAAGAAAATGCCATTGCCATCGAAACTTTTCTCAAGACAGTTCCCTTTAGTGATACATTAATATAACCCCAGAAATGTAATGCATTTTTGTACTTATTTTACTGTTATTTTCAGGATCTGGACATGTTCAAACAAGCAGTTCCTGCAATCATAGCCACAGAGTTAAGACAAACGGCAGGACCTCAAGCTCAAAGCTTGTAGTTATTGCTTTTTCTGAGTGTTTTTTTAGGATAAAACTTGTATACAAGCCAGTGATGGCTGTTCATTGAGGGTCGTATTGGAAACATTTTACATAAGTGGCTGAAACCAAAAAGCTAAAATGTGCAAAGCTTGCCAAACCAGGTCTTGATAGCCAAGAAGAAGCTCCTAACCAGCATTTAATGCTATGCAAGATGCTATCATGCATGTATCTAGGTGCTTTGCTACAGAATATTGTTGATGTGCAGAATTGTCCTAGTTAAACATCATGTGTTTTGTTTCTTAGGTGGCAAAGGCTGTACAGTGTTTTGAGGAATCCAAACGAACACCGTGATGGAATCCGAATTTTCACTGCTGTCCTCCTCAAAGGGAGAGTTCAAGGCCGAAAATTACATACAGCCGCATTACAAGGAAGCATATCGGTTAGCCATTGACTGCCTTGTCAAAGAGGGAGAAGCTTCTTATCGAAATTTCATCAAAGAGGAGGGCATATGCGGTTTCCTCTCTGAGGAAGAAATCGGCCAGATTACAGAGAGCGCTGTGCAGCCCCCCACCAGCAACCACTCAGAGGAATTGGACTGTCCGCAGGATGACACGTCCTCCACTGGCACGTACTGGCCCACTCACTCGGACACTGACCCGCCAAACCTGGATTTAGGCTGGCCAGACGTCCCGCACAGAAGGCTCGAGACCAGCATAGACCTGCTCTTCCACCCGCCGAAGCAAAACAGCCCCACTATCAAGGAAGTGATCCGCAAACAAATACAGGATGCCAGGCAGGTAATGTTGATAAAACAGCATGCTGAAAAAAGGGTGTAAATAAACGCCAGTCCTTCTGTAGATCATGTGCTTTTGAACTATGCTGAGAGTTAAGAAACACATAGCTGCACACATAGAGTTACACACATAGCTCAAGAATGTCCTAGAATCAGAACTGAGCTCTTGAATGGTGTTGTAGCCTAGTGGTAACAGATCTGACTGGTAACTGAAAGGTTGTGGGTTCAAAAGCCACAAGGGGTGATCCATGAACTTGTATCATTGTGCGCTTGAACAAAGCTCTTAACCTCAGGTTGCTCTAGGGAGACTGTTCTACAACAATTTCCACAATCAAAGATGGTGCAGTTGATAAGGTCACTCTTGGGAAAATTAGTTCCTCTTCAGGAACTCGAGCTGCGTCGGAAACGCTAGGGGAACGCCTTGTGTGACCACGCTCTGAATAACATGTGAAATCAGTCCAATAGCTGAGCGGGACGTCACGGGCAGGTGACGTCATGACCAGGAAGCTATAAAAGCACGTGCGGCGGAGCCGAGCTCCCCCTAGCTCCCCCGTAGTTCGCACCCTGACTGTCACCCTGTTGAGCATACGATAAATAAATGAGCAAATCTTTGAAAGTCTGAAAGGCTAATAGAGTGCACAGTCAGATTTTGCATTCATTTTCTACATAGAGTAATTGATTTTAAGCAATAATGTTTAAACATAGACAGGCCTACCATGAGCTCTGAGGCTTAAGCGATGACATATGCTCCTGTAGAAACCACAAGTCAGTGTTTATTTTCCAAATTCCAGTGAAGAACTATACCCTTACTCGTGAAGCAAGAACTGTAGTCGAACAACTTTCATACACTCTTTAAAATAAAGGTGCTTCAAAAGGTTCTTCAAGCGATGCTATAGAAGAACCATTTTTGGTTCCACAAAGAACCATTCAGTCAAAGGTTCTTTAAAGAACCATCTCTTTCTTACCTGTTTGTAATCTGAAGAACCTTATTTCGCCACAAAGAACCTTTTGTGAAACAGAAAGGTTCTTCAGATGTTAAAAGTTCTTTATGGAACCATTTAGACAAAAAGGTTCTTCTATGGCATCGTGAAGCACCTTTACTTTTAAGAGTGTATTTGTGTAAATTTATATATATTGCATTTCACTGTATACCTATAATCAATGACTTAAAGTCATAGTTGTATATTGTATCAATATTTGTTATTGATTACGCTATTTGCTTGTGCTTTGTCATCCGCAAAGCTTCGCGGAATGAGTAGTAAGCAGTAGGATTTTTTTTTTATCATTTTCAAATACTTTTTTGATTCAAATTAATGTTTGTAATGTTTGATAGCTAACAAAATGTGCCAATAAACAAAAAAAACTAAATCTTTAATATTTCATCCACCAGGCTGGTCTTAACAATTGTGTGTTACAGGACATGTTTCACGCAATATGAATAAATTATTTTCCTCAAATAAAGCCAGTGTGGCCTCTATGGTAAAAAGGCATTTTCTAGGCATCTTCAGTTGTTGTTGTAGCTTGCTGTTTTTCATTAGAGTCTAATAGTAACAGATCAAGGCTACATGAGCGAAGATCTTTAAAATCTAGAGATACAAAGTTTGTCTTTGATCTTCACTGGAATCACCTATCATACACACACATTCAGCCTTGCAGACAGCTTCTACCTTTAGAGTAAAGTGAACATTTCGCCCAAAGACATGTCTTTCTAAATAAATTATGTTAGCACAACTACATAAAAACATCATAGGAGCTCTCAGAGTACACTCTGTGGCTGAAATAAAATCCATTTTCAGTTACATCATTTTGTTTATCTTCAGTTGGATACATTTAGCTAAGGTTCGACATGCTTGACACTGTGGAATTAAAGCCTTACATTCAACTAATTAACTCTAAATTGAATGTTGTCTTTGCGCCCAGCACTGCTATGCAATTGCTAGTGAGAGAATAAGAGATAATGAAAGATAATATGGCCAGCTTAGATTTTACTCCAAATTAAAGAATAATGGTAAAGTATCTCTAGTTCAATGTGAGGTGAAATAAACATCAATGATATTATTATTATTATACCTATCATACACACACGTTCAGCCTTGCAGACAGCTTCTACCTTTAGAGTAAAGTGAACATTTCGCCCAAAGACATGTCTTTCTAAATAAATTATTAGCACAACTACATAAAAACATCATAGGAGCTCTCAGAGTACACTCTGTGGCTGAAATAAAATCCATTTTCAGTTACATCATTTTGTTTATCTTCAGTTGGATACATTTAGCTAAGGTTCGACATGCTTGACACTGTGGAATTAAAGCCTTACATTCAACTAATTAACTCTAAATTGAATGTTGTCTTTGCGCCCAGCACTGCTATGCAATTGCTAGTGAGAGAATAAGAGATAATGAAAGATAATATGGCCAGCTTAGATTTTACTCCAAATTAAAGAATAATGGTAAAGTATCTCTAGTTCAATGTGAGGTGAAATAAACATCAATGATATTATTATTATTATTATTATTTTAAATTACTTACTTTTATTCTTAATGGGATGATCATTTAAAAAAAATGTATTTATTTATGAGAGGCAGTACAAGAAATTCTGTCATGGTGGTTAAACATTTTCTAAGTTAAATAATATATCATGCTCTATTCTATTTTTCTCATCTTTTATTTCGTATTGTGACATATGGCCACATGAAACATTTTTTTTTTTTTTAAAGAACAAATGTAGGGCAGGGACTTGGTTCTATCCATCTGTTGTTGATTGGATGGAGGCATATGCATGGAAAGAAGAAAAAAGAGAAAGAAACACATGCATGGAATCGTGAATCGTTCACAAAAAAAAAATCAATAGCATGAATTTAGATAGAGACAGAGATAGAATGTATATCCGTTTCGGGTTGATTTTAGGATAATGCAAATTAGATTTGTTGGCTGCACTTTACAGCACAGTGTGTACTGTAAAATTACATGAATATAATGTTATTGTCATGCAATGTTGCAGGAAGACACATGATGAGGAAGACAAGGCATGATCACAGTCTTTAATAATAATCCCCAAGGTAAATGAACTGAACGAATCAGAGAAATCATTACTTGCACAGACGAGACCAGACACTCAGCACTGAAAACACAGGACCTTAAGTATTAATACAAACAAGGATAATTAATGATACACAACTGAACTGAAATAACTCCTCACATGACAACTAAAGAGCGGCAGGAAGACTGAACAAAGGCAAACAGGAACTAATGAAAACATCCTAAAAGTCCATGAAGACGAAACTAAATGACACACATAACTGATAACCCATTACAGTTATACAGTTACCAAATAAAGTACTGAATAATATTAATAAACTACATGGACTTAGTACCTCAATTACTATGGTAGTGCGTCCATGCAGAACAGCGCATAAAAAAAAAAAAAGGAGACACTGATTGATTTTTCCCCCCATTATGGTAATAAGGATTGGGGTTTGAATGTGCTTAATTGCCATGAATATGCAAGCAAAATACAATTTCTTGTTTCTATCTTTTTGAATTTGGCATTAGAAATAATGTAGTGAATGTTTGATTTTATTTTATTTTTTCCATTTTTAATGAGGTGTTGTTCGTAATCTTGTATAAGTCATTTGGCGCAAGGCACTGATGAGAGCAGCATTGTTGTCTGTCACAGCAATAAACCGTTGCATTGTCACACGAGTATAGGAAAAGTGCCAACCATTTTCACTGCCCTGCCTGTTCACCCCGTGATTCCCTCATAATCACAGAGGAGGCTATAGATTGATTTCCTTTAAATCATGGCTTTTGAGAGCAGCCCCACAGTTGTGACGTCTTGAACTCTTGCTAAAGATGTGATAAGGACAGGTACATCACTTTCTCCCTCAGGCATCAGTCATGTACAAATTACAGCAGTCTCTCCCCAGCAACAGTGGCAGCTAAACTGTGCTGAACAAACACAGAGCAAACAATGGAACTAGTTGTGCAATATGCAATGCTGAAATGATCGCTCCCTTTACAGTTGATGAGACAGGTGTGTTAGAAACATCTAGGTGTGCCTATGAGAAGCAAGCTTTACCACATTAAAAAAAAAAAAGTCATGCAAAGAAGTCCTTGCTAGCGGGGGTGTGGAGCACTCTTTATTAGTAATAAGTGACAATGCATTGCCTCCTTTCTGAGCAATGCAATCTTCTTTGTATTTTGATCATGAGAGATGATTAAAGCCCTGGCTCATATAATTAATGTGGCAGCATGTCTAAGAGCTTCTACTGAACATTGTACACAGATAGATTTATATCATGCAATTCTGACTTTTTTCTCACAGCTTTGACTTAATTTCTCAGAATTGTGAGATATAAACTTGCAATTGCGAGTTATAAAGTATAAGAGTTCTGATTAGGGCTGGCAATTTAAAGCGTTAATTAGATTAATTAATTACGGTGAAAAATAACGTGTTAAAATTATTAACGCATTTAACGCACTTGCCCCGTCCCAGACCTACGTGGGTCATGTGACATTTCATACAGTTGATTGATATATAATGTAGGGCAACAACTCACTGCGTGATGGAGCCTAGAGAACGTAGTTAGAATGTCCCTAAAATCAAAGATATGGGGCAAAAAATGCCCCCGTTTGAGTTTTTGTCTCATATTTACATCATATAGGCAAGCAATATCACACAAGCAATAAGTGTAAGATCACACGAGTGCAAATGTGATACTGATCTTATACAACAGTTCAATAAATAAGAAGTTAATATTGTGTTATTTTAGACACAATGTTGTCTGTTTTGCTCAATTTTGCCAACGAAAATATAAAGACAAACCAGAACAGTTCGTCTCCGAGCAACACACAGCTGCATTCATGTCTTAATCCACATTTTGAACGAATTGGGTGAAGCATTAGGCGCGTTGGATTTGAAGCGGCGCTCCACAGATCGGTGTGTGACATCAAAGTACCGCGAGAGCGATTCAAAAGCATGCAGAGTCGTCTGCTCTCTAGTTGCTCTCGCGGTACTTTGATGTCACACACCGATCGATCTGATGGTGATGATCCGCTTCAAGTCGAACAAGCCTAATGATTCAATGGACCATTCATAAAGAGAACCATTTACTTCACTCCTGAATGAATCAGCCGTTTAAACGAATCAAAAGAATGAATAAATGACTCGATAACTTAATCATTAAGACATTTACCACCACCTACTGGCAGTTTTAGTTTATTATTTAGAGTATCATTTCATTAAAGAAATAATTTCCATAGTAATAATAATTATTATTAGTAAATAATAATTAAATTAATGAAAGTATAGAAGCATGACATTTTCGTGTCAACAATTTTATGTTTTCTCAAAAATCTTAATAGATTATGGATCACATTTCAGTTTGTTTGTTTGTTTGTTTTTTCCAGAGCAGAGCAGAGTCAGACCCATTAGGCAACATAGGCTACCACCTAGGACCGCATCTCACGAGGGCATGGATTTACCAAACCAATTTCAGTGTGCTGAATGAACTGCACCTCGTGTGGCTCTGGTGCTCTGATTACATGTGCTCCCTAGAGTCGACTCACAGCATGGGGGGGTGTGTTACCATGATGGTGTTTTGTGTTTGCATGAATGACTCTGTGCACCTTCTATATATTAGAATATACTTCTGCTTGTGGCAAAGCTGCTTGTGATGAGCTTTGATTCTTCATGTGGCTTTCTCTTTTAAACTGAAAGCGGTTTGACAAGAGAACATTATACAATAGAATATATCAACCGCACATCAGCAGTGTGTTGTGTGAAGTTCCCAGTAGTTTTACTACGTTTTTTAGCAAAGGTGTTGATGGGTTTTTGTATAAAAGAGTGGAAGCAGGTGTGAGAAAAGTCTTTTTTCTTACAAGCTTTTAAAATCATAATTGCCATTATAAGAGTTTACTTGTATTTCCAAGTGAAGTGTTGCGTACACTGTAAAAAATAAGTGTAATTTTTACTGTAAAATTTTGTAAAAACGCTACAGAAAAAAACTGTTAAAAGGTTAACAGTAAGTTCCCGTACTATATACCTTTACTAGTACTCATGTTTTTTAGAACAAAGAAATTTTAAAAGCAGTAAAAATATATTATTAGCTTTGATTCTGCCTGGCAGTAATGAAGCCTTTTCAGTAATGACACATGAACAAGTAAATTAGAAAGGCTCAACGGCTCCTTAAGGTGGAGGATGAGAGGAGACACTTTGAATAAGAATGCATGAGGACTCTCTATGTGAAAAGTACAGCATGTAAGAAAACACATGGACTATTATTATGTCTAAGTAAACAAGATATCCTTGGTTTAAAAATGTCAGCGTGTACGGAAGTGATGAGCTTAACAAGCAAAATTGATCTTTTGTCATATTGCTGTTTTACCCATGTTATGCATCTTTGAGTGGTACCTAACAACCTTAGTCATGGTAAAATCTCTCACAACGCCTCTCATGGCCTATTGCTTTATTTGAAGTACAAAACAGCTTGTAAGTGTATTTATTTCTTGTCTCAGTGTTTAGCGCAGTTGTCGTTGCTAGGAAACGCTTGTTTTGTTTACTGTGGAGACGTGCTGAAATCGTGTTTGGTCTCGTACTGTATCGCGTACCTTGTCAGTGTCGTGCGCTTTGCTTGGCCATTTGTTGCTCCAGGGGGAATGATCTGCCCAAATCAATCCGAGCAGCTGAGTCCTTACCCATCTTCAAGAAACGACTAAAAACACATCTGTTCCACCTTTATTTGACCCTGTAACTCTAACACTTTCTATTGTATTTTAATTCTACTTTATCTATATTTATCTTTTTATTTTTTTTATTTTTTTATTCTTTATTTAAAAAACAAAACAAAAAAAAAACACTAGCTTTCTATTTTTTCTATTCTATCTACTTGTTTTTTCTTTGTTTGTGCGTGTGTGTATAATATATATATATATACACACCTTGCTACGTGTACTGTGTTAGGCTAACCGAGACTTGTCATTTGCACTTATACTGTATATTGTTGCTCTTTTGTTAGTTTTGACTGCTTTTATTGTCCTCATTTGTAAGTCGCTTTGGATAAAAGCGTCTGCTAAATGACTAAATGTAAATGTAAATGTAAATGTAAAACTCTAAAGGTCAGACAAGATTATATGCTGTACAACACTGATCATACTGACAAGGTCTCATCAAGTTCTGTAGAAATTCTATATTAATCATTTGTTAATCAGTACATGTTGTACAGGGTGTGGTGAGATACTACTTAGGCTAAGACTCGTTGTCATTTGGCATTAATGGAACATCTTAAACCTGTCAAGGCTTGAATCATGGAATGCCGGTCTTCCTGAAAGACAAATGCTAGGACTAAACCTTTAAATAATACAAACCGTACAGTCTTCTCCCCAACTTCTTTCTGTTTAATATTAGGCAAAAGGCCCAAGAAAATACATATCATCCCCTGTCGGTTTCATGAAAGCCATCTTTTAAGTTATTGAATGTGGTTTTTCTGATTACGCAGAAAAACGAAGGGTGTCGTTTTAAAAAACTGAAGCAGCTTCTGGGCTGACACCTCTGCTTTGTTCAGCTTTGTGTAACTGACAAGGATGTCATTGATTTAAGAGAATATCAGAGACGGCCTGTTCTGACAGTGAATGCCCCAAAATCCTCTGAGGCTGACGTTTCTATTATGTTTTCATTTGTATGTCTATACAGGTCATAGCAATCGCAATGGATATTTTCACCGATGTGGACATCTTTAAAGAAGTGGTGGATGCCTCAGTCAGAGGTGTTCCTGTCTACATTCTCCTTGACCATAATCACTTCAAAAGCTTTCTCAATATGGTAGAAAATCAAGATATCCAAATCCAAAAACTCAGGGTAAGTGTCCATATTCTACTGTATAATGACCTCCATCCCCAAACAGCATAATTTACTATATTAAGACCCTTTTTACTTATGTTTGCTAGAAAACAAACATGGGAAAAATAATAAATCAAATGAAATGCATAAAATATAGAGATGGATAAATATTCCAAAACACCTTTATGTTATGCTTTGGTCCAGTGATATGATTCTCGCTTTGCATTGCATACACCTTTTTATAAACCAACAGTGCTACTGCATATCAGTAGATGCATATCAGAAAGTGCCCATTTGGTTGCGTTTCATTGTGTGATTTCAATGAAAGCAGAGCAGGCAGCGGAGTGAAGTGCAGTGCGTGTCTGAGAGAGACGAGGCTTCCTGTTCTGCTCAAGAGAATAGTGCTGCTCTAGACAAATATGTTGCCTCTACCATTGACAAGAGAGAAGCGTATTGCTTAATGTATAAACCTGTGCATGAAAAGGTTTTCTCGATTGAGTGCGCTCGCTAAAGGAGACAGAATGTGTTTACTGGATCAAAACATACTCTCAGTACTGGAACATACAGGAAATTTAATGAACTGACAAACAAACTGTTAAAATGCTGTTCCAGGTCATTCTGGCCCAATTTAATCCTCATTTAAAGGTGCTGTATGTAGGATTGACACCGAGTGGTTGAACTAGGTATTGCAGTCCAAATAAAAAATATTGGAGAGAGTTTTTTTCACCCGGCCCCTCGTCCTCAGACTTGACGCACACGCAGGTTGCCAGATTGACGACACCAACAGGAACGAGCGCACTTGACGATGAATGAAATGAAATACGCTGTATTTTCTGCCAACCGGCAACCTGGGGTGCCGAAATACAATTGGATAAACTGTGAGCACACACAAACCAATGCTACAGTGTCATGCGTGTTACCAAGATGGTGTTGTGACTTTGTGAGTATTGGCCATGTTCATCATGTGGCTTTCTTTTGAACAACCTGTATTACTATGATGATTATCAGTTCATTTTAAGTAGATTGGAATTTGTATTTTATTTATTTTTGTTTTTATACAGTAATAAAGAGTAGTAGTAACACTTACCAGAAAATGCTACTAATTATTAATAAACTATTTTCTAAACATGGTGCAGTTCAGTTTCATTTCTAAATGATCTCTTGCATTAAATTAAATGAACACGCATTCCTTGCAGCGATTGAAGGACAGTTTTATTAACATTTCTTACATTTTGTAAAATATTTCAAACAGAGCCATAGAGAATATTTTTTACTATGGAAGAGCATTAACCAAAAAACCACGCTAAAAACAACAAATCAAAGGATCAATGGATGAAGAAGAAGCAACTGCAAACGTAACGGCAGGAACGGTATCATAAGATAAACGCATCTACCCACACAAGCATATTTCTTAAGTAAAATACTCTTGTTTTAAGAATATTTTACTTACCCCACTGGCAGATAATTTTACATGTTTTAAGCAAAATGCACTTAATTTAGTTATTTTCCCCCTGGAAACAAGACTAAATATCTTAAGTCAATTGGCTTATCTAGTAAAAGTATCTTGATTTAAGAATTTTTAGATATTTTGACTAGAAGCAAGACAAAAATACTAAGTAAGATAAGCCATTTTTTGCAGTGTGTCGTCCTGAGAGAAACATTTTATACTGGCCAAAATCATTTGAACACACATCATGCAGTTGTGATTTTTGAGCTCTTGAGAAGGACCTTCCCAGGGGACAGCAACTGTATATCTGTGACCATGTTGATTCAAGAGCTTCGAAGTACAGGTGTCAAGGGCAACAAATGCAATTTTTGTTATTAGATACATATATATCTGATTCCTGGGTGTGACCAGATTTCCTCATTTATCTGCATTGTATTCTTCTAGCTGATGGCTGGGGCTGATGTCAGTGTAAAAATTTGACTGACAGAATGCATAACCAGAAAAAAAAACAAAGCATCAAGAGCAATCTGAAAACCTGTCATGCTGTCACTCTTGTTATTTTTACGGAGCTCTTCTCTCTCAGAACTTCTCTTTCTTTGTTCAGGGTGATAAAGGAAATGAAAGTTGTTGAAATGAAAGAGTCGTTCTTTGAGAAACGTAAACATATACATGATCGCCATAGGAAAATTCTCAAATATTTTCCACATGATCAATTTCAACTAAATACTGTCTTTGCTCTCTGTAAGCAAATCACTTAACCATTTATTCACGCTGACTTTCTTGTCAAATATGACGACACCTGGAAGTATTCATGTACTGATGACGAGCCATATAAAGAAGCAATGAACTGGAAGCACTGTCCCTCCCACTTCTTCCCAGAGGGTGTTAACTATTATTAAATGAAAAACAAGCTGCAATTAAGATTTTTCTCACCACACCTCACTAAGTGCCTTCATCTGGGTATTTTTCTGCTACTGACATTTTTTGAATGTCTGTTAACTCAGTATATTCAAATGTCACTACACAGCATAGCAACAGCTACTGAAGCAGATCCTGAAATTTATATGGTTGATTTATTATTTTAAATAAAGTTTAACAGACTTTCTTCACTGTAGACACAAGAACCTTTGGTCACACTTTATATTAGGTGGCCTTAACTACTATGTACTTAAAAAATAAGTACAATGTACTTATTGTGTTCATATTGTATTGCAAAACACTTTTGCTGCTATTGAGGTGGGATACGGGTAAGGTTAGGGACAGGTTTGGTGGTATGGGTAGGTTTAAGGGTGGTTTAAGGTGTAAGGGATGGGTCAACTGTGTAATTATAAATGTAATTACAGAAATTAATTACAGATGTAATTACATATAGGTATTTTTAAAAATATAAGTACAATGTAAAAACATGTATGTACACAATAAGTGCATTGTATCAAATGATTAATTTAAATGTAAGGACATAGTAGTTAAGGCCACCTAATATAAAGTGGGACCAAACCTTTTATTTTACATTCGCATATGACACACCCATCGTCATTAGTGTTGTTTAGGTGCACACAGATGGTACATATAAACTTTAACCGCTTTGTCGCTTTAGCAGCAGTGATAAGAACTGACCCTTGGCTTCAACAGACAGACTTACTGACTTATTGCAAAGCAATAATGAGATTTGTTTGCCTTTCACTTTGTTTTTGCTAAACAGACTTAACAATGTCTCTATATAATTGCGCATAAAATCAAGGTGAAGCACCAAATACAACATATGAGTAAAACAGGACATTTAGTATAAAAAAAAAAATGCTGGAATTGATTGGATGAAAAGTACATCTTACAAAACAGGTAGTTGGAGGAAAGGGGTTCAAAAAATAAGAGGGAATTGTCATGTCAGCAAAGAAGGCAAAACAATTATTTCAGAGGTGGAAGTTATATCGCATCAGACTTTTTAATAACCGGTTATATTCACTAAGGACAATCAAAAATATTTTCATTACTACTTTTAGAGAACTCTCTCAGAACAAAACTAATTTAAATTATTAAATTATTATTTAAAATCTGGTAAAACTTTGCATTAGGGAACACTATTCCCTATTAACTAGTTGCTTATTAGTACCTATAAACAGTGTTGGGTAAGTTACTCTGAAAATGTAATAAAATTACTGATTACTGATTACTCTTTTTAAAAGTAATCACGTTACTGTTCTGATTACTTTATTTAAAAAGTAACTAGTAATTAGTTACATTACTAGTTACGTTACTTTTTTCTCCATGAAATTTATTAAATCCCAGCATACACGCTCCCGATAAATATTTGTTATTAAAGCATCAACATTCACAGAATACTGTTATTTTTAGCTAAAGCCTGCGTGCATGGTTTGGCATGGCAGAATGCCAGCTAAGGGCGCTGCATTTATAATCTCTAAAAGACATCTCAGTTCATCGCAATCTCACACATCTCTGTTATAACACAATATAATGAATCTTTCATAATGTCTACAATTCGTGTGTTATAATGAGAGGATTCATGAGCACGCAAATCATTTTGAATGATTCGAAAGACTCAGAGATTAACTAATCAATTCTCTTTCCGGCTCAGACTGCATTGGTTACAAACACGTGTTATAAATAGCTAAATAGACTTTCCTAAATAGAAAGTCTGCATACGCTTGCACCTGTTAATCGTTTATATTTTATATTAGTTCATGTTGCTTTTGTGCAATAGATGAATAACAATTTATTTGTTTTAGATATTTTATGTTTAGATATTTCAATTTTGCGGGAGTCCCATGAATCATTTTATTATCCCGCATCCCACACACACACACACACGTGTCTACCCGCCCGCACCAGCACTCGCCCATCTTGTCCCGCGTAGTGTTGGGTCGTTCTTGAACGATTCGTTCATTTTGAACGAATCTTTAATGTGACTCGGGAAGAACGAGTCGTCTCGGGGAGCGATTCGTTCAGTCGCGCATGCGCAACATCCTATAGGTTCTGTACTGGAATTAGTCAAGTAGT